TTTTATGTTATAGTTTTAGAGTTTGCTGGATTGTCAAACACATAGCTATTTACATGGTTTAACAGGCCTTGCCAAAGCATCTTCTTGCGACTCCGTCATTGACTGGGTTTATGCAATAAGAAAAGAGTTAGAGGGAAAGAAGAAGAAGAAAAAATGTTTATTTACTCAGAGCACCTCTGCAACAGCATAATGTACAGGTTGCTCCTGTTGCAACAGCCACAGCCATGATCAAAATATGCAGTCCCATCTCATCTTAATGCCTCTCCGCCGATTGGCCTACGACAGCTCGGATTGCCACGTGATTGGCCGACGACCTCATGTAGCGGCAGCCGGCCGGCGCTCCACCAAGGCTATTTCAGAAGTCTCATACGGTACTTGAAGGGTATAAGATATGATGGGAAGGAAGATACAGTGCCTGCATTGCAGCAAGCAGCACAAGATTGAAAACACTTAATTTTGCGTTTTTGCCCAGACACATTTGAGATTTCCAAGTGAATGCCGCTAAATATCATATTTGTGTCAAACCAACCAACAAACAATAATAAAGACAATTTACAATTTTGCCTCAAAGGACTAAGAAAAAAAATACAGAACAAGAGCTGAGTGTTCTTAAAGGCATCCTGCAGCCTTATGACTGGGCAGACATAGTTTAAAGCCATCCCGGAGAAATTACTAATAAACATATATCCCGTCCTCTTTCCACATGACCTTAAAAACCACGCTCGCAAGCAAAAAATTATATACAAGGAAAAAACCAAAAGAAGGAGGAGAAAAAAAAAAAAAAGTCCCAAAAATGCGAGCAAGCGGACGGCTGCAAATGAGGGAACACTGCACATTGCCCACATTTCGGGTCAGGCCCGGATCCCTCCTCAGAACCGGCAGCATGCAGACGCTGACAAACGGACCAGCGCTGAGGAAGCTCCAATGCTCGCTCGCGCTGGATTTTGCACGTGTGAGCGCCATAAAATTAAAAGCTTCCATCTAAAGTTGAAAGGCGTCCGTGAATGAGGCACACCAGCTTTTTTTTCTTACCTTCTATTAATTTTTATTGTCCTGCAAACAGAAAAGGAGAAAAGGAAATGAAAATAAAATGGGGAAAAAAAAAAAAAAAAAAAAAAAAAAATAAAAAAAAAAAAAAAAAAAAAAGCTCTGAGCGGCAGCATTTGGGCTGGTGTAGCTGCAGAATGCAGCCTTGCTTCCAGACGCCCACTGCTTCCAATCCGACATTTCAATACAGTCCCGAGAAAAATCCTTTCAGTTCTAAATGAAAGAAAGCCTTCCTTTCCTCCTCTTGTTTTTGAACAGCGATCAATTCCAAGACAAAGAGCGCACCTCAAAGAAGCAAATATACCAAGGACAGAAACATAAGGAATCACAGAAGCAATTATTTTCAAATCCTCCTGCAGGGGCTGATAATGTCACCTCGCTTCTCTTTCTACATAAAAAACAGCATCAATTATGCAGCTGTTCCATTAATATGAATGGGCAATTTCCCATACTGCCGCGCGTTAGTGATGGCATCATGGCTGGCCGGCGAGGGAACATGCAGGGCCTGAAAGCCCCCGAGAAGCTTCCTGGAACGAAACATGTCATGAAGCTGCTCTTCCTATCCAATCAGTGGGACCTAAAGGCGGCGATGGGTGGGGGAGGGGCTGGGACTCAACAAAGAGAAGCTGTCTGCGTTGGGCTCCACCTGTCCGGGGCTGTTAAATCCCAGGGAGGCGGCCATACCTCTGCACAGCTGCAAGATATAACACCTCTAAACTTAAAATCTAATTTTTTTTATTTATTTTTTTAAGCGCTCGCCTAAGCCAATCATTTCATTTGACCCAATAAACACCCAGCCCATGCTAAGCATTCCCCCTTGTCCTCCCCCTTGCAGAAAGCTCATCACAGCTTCTAGCCCAGAGAAAGGCCGCGCACGGACCGAGACTTATCTGCAAGAGCAACTGAGCCACAGTTAATGACATAATGGTACACTGTAAGAAAAAACTGTTTGGCAAACAAATGCCTCGTCTAGTGTTTCATGTATAAACTTCCTTCTCCTCACAAACGAAACACTACACTTAGCAAAAATATTATGGCCACCCCAGCTCTAACAACTCAAAGCAAATAATTACAAATTAATGATTATATTGTCATTTTAACATTTACATGTACTATTACAGTTAAAGACTACTTAAAGTGTTTTATCTTAAAATAAACAGATAAACGCATAATGTACTTAACCTATGAATCAAAACAGAGTCTGGCGTCCTGTTTGGGGTGTCCAAATGCTGGTGCCCTGCCCCCCCTGGCTCCAGACCCCCACCCTGCTCCAACAACCCTGTACTCCATAAACAGTTTAAAGATGGATGGATGGATGGATGGATGGACGATGCACTGAGAAAGGGGATATTACGGCAGTAGCCCACAACGTTCTCTTCACTGACAAGATTCCACAGCAGAAGCAGTGTAATGTCGACCTTGTCTTCTGGCTTAAGGTGCGGCGTTTCTGGTTTGCCAACTGCACCCTCGGAAGCGGCGCTCGTTCAGCACATTGACACACCTGCTCTGCCCGCTTTGGCCGTCGACAGGCGCCGGGCCGGGCTGGCACGCCACCACATCAGAGAATGCGCTGATACGCCCCCGCGGCTCGAGTGTCAGCGTGCTACTGGCCATCTTCCTGACATGTGCCAGCCGCCTGGTCACAAGAAACAGGAACCGCGGCCTGAGAATGCGACGCCTTTGCTGGCTAAATATTTGTATCATTTTTTATCTATCTACCACTTGCGAATGCACTAAAATAAAATAGAAAACTCGAAAATAAAATAATTTGAATGAATGGTAACTTACATAGATTATGCCATTATTCATTTTTCCCCAACTGAGAGATTAGACATGTTAAGTGTCCCAAATCCACACAAAAGTGCTCTGCAAAGGGAGTAATATTGATAAGTACATTTTCAGAGACATAACGTCATCAGAAATGTGATTCTCTATACGGAACATGCATTAATAGAAGGAATTCCTTTCACCATTTCCTTCCATGTAATTTCAACGCACCCGTACCCCCCATAAAAAAATACCTGGGGGGTGGGGCGTTTGGAAGTCTTGAGTTTACCAACTAAGGCTGCTGTGATTACTCGATGTAGTCGATGACGTCGATGCTGAAAATGCATCGACATCAGTATTTTGAATCACTGTTTTTAAAACATTTAAAGAAATAACCTTTAAGATTTTTAAAACCCTTCAATTCATTATAAGAAATGTTTTTCTTCAATATCACTAAGTAATTATGGGAGTAGTTTAACTTATCACAAAACAAAAAGGCGGTTTGTACACCGTACAAAGTCTGATGGTATACCACAGCGACACAAACACGTACGATGCATGAGATTAAACACTCAGACACTATTCTGGGTGATGGGCTGCCAGGAAAGGCAAACCCACCGTACTATTCATGTTTATGAAATTTCCATTAGTATGGAAAGCTTTTTAATATCTTTTGTCCTTGTAACTGCTAAATACGGTCATTATTAAAGCCATAATATTGTCTGCCTGCTACCTCAGAATCTCCGTTGAATAAGTGTTTGAGAAAAATGTTTAGGCTAAAATCTGGGCTTATTCTGTGTTGATTGATGGTGCCAGTGTGTGTTTGTGCGCGTTGGGCTTGTTGGGACCAGTGTTATCGTAAACTAAAACTGAAATAAAAATGGGCAGTAAAAAAAATAAAATAAAAAATAAAAAAAATTGTGAACTGAAATAAAAATGAAAACTATATTTACCACAAAAAGTGTCAGACTTTAAATCTGCTAAAAGCACCTCCGCACCACACCCTCATCTATTTATTTTTTTATTTAGCTATCACTTTTTAAAAAAAGATGTTGTGGCTGTCCCTTTCTTCACCACGACTTCAGTGCTTATCGCTTCCATGATTTATCAAAACAGTTGCATGTGGCGTGCTCTGCTAACCAAATTTAATAAGCATGAAGATTCGCTATATTTATACAGATTACTAACTTTGGGGCATCACAATACGCATCTCATTAATATGTTTAGGCATACTACTAATCTTATTGAATGATGGATGAAAATAATGTCCGTATAGCGTACAAAATTTGGAGTCCATTATCTGAAGCCTTGCAATGACAGACAGTTTGTTGTCAAAATAAAAAAAAACTTCAACGGGCAATTTTCTGGAGGAAAATTGGTCGATTAAATGATTGAAATAGTTGATAGATGAATCAGTAGAGAAATAGTTGTTAGTGGTAGCAGTACTACAAGCTTTCAGGTGTTAACAGAATGGAAATGACTAAATGAAAAACCTTCCAGTTTTATATCAGGCTGATCTCATGTGTTGCGCTGAAGAATTGAAATTGGCAACTGGAATCAGCATAAATAGGTTTCTGAATGTACCTTAGAACTGTTATACTGACCACTAGAGACTTTTCTAACCCTTTGTAGGCATATTTATACAAGTATAAAGAGCTCTTCCCTAACTAAACTAAATGCCTTTTGTTATCTTCAACAGGCGTTTGGTCCCCCTGTGCATGAAGATGAACAGTGAATTTAGGTGAATCAGTTGCTCCCTGTTAGTGTGAATCTTTGACAGGCTCTCAGAAGGGTTATAGCTCTGTGGACATTAAGGCATTAATTCCCAAAAAGCTGCTTGGAAAGACTATTTGTTGCATAATGTGGCAAACAGATCATCCTACTATTTCATCATTGATATAAGAATTGCATAGAAACTCACTTTGCACTGTTATATTCACTTACATATAAATTATATATATATATAAAAATTCAGATTTCAAGGGAAAAAAAAACAGGCGTTACACAAATTCCCCTTTTCTTTGTTTTACAAACACACCCTAAAGTCCTTGATAGGCCGATATAGCTGTGGGATCCATAGGACTGGGAGTGTCTGAAACCATAATCTTCACAGTCATCGTCCCGGTATCTCTTTAAACACCTCTAGGTTTGCCGCCCCCGCTCCCGCTCCCCCCCCACCCACTCACCAGGAGCCATTACAAAATGAAGAGTGCGGTGAATTCCCTGTCTTCTCTTCATGGGTACTCGTGTGTGCCACGTTGGTAGTCAGCGTCCCGAAATGGCACCTCCAAAAGAAGCGCTTATTTATCCAGGTCTGCATATCTGGTTAAGATCAGCATTACTTACAGTTTTACTGAAAAGATAAAAGCCTAGAAGAGTTATTAATTTTTCTTATATTGCCATTTTACAGGTAAACAATGTTTCATTTCTGGGTTTAATTTGTGCGTCACATAACTGATTCTGGGTTTTGCTGCCAGGCAACTCAGTGTCAAAATAGTGTTTGGACTAGGACACAGGTGTAGTCATTTCTGTAAAATCCACAGATTTTAGTGATGCCCTAACAAAGCAATTTTACTTTTTGGAGGAATTATGTGCAAGAAAGTGACAAATGATAAATGCCACCAATCTGATGTGACACTGGGTAAATACATCAGGTGAATTTCTTTAAGATTTTGAGAGGATATTTTACAGAGACCCCTCCTCAAACAACCCAACCACGTTCCAATAAATTTTTCCGTGTACAGGAAAGCCTCGGCGGCTTCCGGAAATATTTGGTACGAATCGAGCAGGGTGCCCATCTTTATCTCAGATGGCCATAGACTGTCTTCAGACAGCCAGTCTGGGTGCAGAGACCAGACAAGGACCGTCCCTCCCCCGAATTCGAATGTGTTTTTTGCACGCTGAAGGTGACGAGGCACAGTGGCTTCTTTAAAGCACTCGCCTTTTAAAAGGAAGCCTCTGAAGGCCCCAAGGAAGTCGGCTCTGACATCCCCAGCTGACACATAAGAAGTTTATCAGCTATAAAGAAGGAAACGGGGACAGTGTTGACAAGGAGTGTAGGACACAGGCCTCAAGAGGCTGTGCGTTTTTGTCCCGAAGCCGGTGGAAAACGCTGTTCCCCAACTACCCCAAAAATACAGTGATGAAGTACAGCACAATGTCACGTCTGGGCACTGCAACTATCTGCTCTTGCACTTTTTCCCTTTTTCTAGAACGTTCCGATATAGTAACTTTGATCTACTATTATTCCATTTAGGGAGTCACACTTTTGTAGATCTTCCTTGGACAGTATTTATGTCCTTCTCCATCCAAGGGAGGGGGGCGCTTTAAGAATGATCCCTTGAAGAAAGATCATCTGTCATAAAACCAATCAGGCCTGAGAAGCACAGGCAGGTACTGCACGGCATCTGGGGCTACAGCTATTCTTCAGAGTCGACGCTTTAATTTTTCCAGCTCCTAAGGAACGGTGGTGAGTGACAATTCAATTGAAAAAACAATTTTGGTAGCGGCACAAGACGACACCCACGGTTATTATATTAACATTTCCATAATTTGTATTTCAAAGGCTGAGACGGGACGAGAGAGAGAAAGAGATAAAAATGCAGTCCGGCGTACATTTAGGAGTTAAATAACAACAGCTTCAGTTATTTCTGCAGGAGCCCCTGGCTGGGGCGTAATGACACTCCAGGTTTTACAAGAGAGACGCTGAGATTCGCTGGGTGACCAGGTGCCCCCGTTCTCACTCTCATTATTTTGCCCATTTCAATATAAAATTCCAATCCCACAGCCCAGGCAGCGAGCAATGACGGATCCCTCTGTGCTACCGTTGCCTAATTGTCTCTGGCACTCAGGAAATGTGACAGACAGATGCGGAGAAGGGGAGAGGGAGACACGGCAAAGACTGTACAGTTACTGTAGACGAACGTTACCAAGAAACTGAAATTAAATATATATATATGAAGTATTTAATATTTGTAACAGAAATAAAGCAGCATGTTTGAGTGGCTCAGCCTCGCGAAAGACCTCCTTCTAAAAGCTGTGAGCACCGCCTAGGGACGGGACAGGTACCTACAAGCATGCTGATGTTTTGCTGTCAGAAAGGGTACAGGAAGACAGACTGCCCTTTGGAAGGGCAGAGGCTGGGAGGTAGCGCCCGTTGGCCCCAGAAACCGCCCCCGCCCACTTCCTGCACCTCCCTTGTTTCTCTTTCCACGCCCCTGCACCGACCTCCTAACGCATAAGCTAACAGTTAAGCTAGTTAAACCCGGCGAGTTGAACAAGGTCAGCTCCACCCAGCGGCTACGAGAGGTCAGTCACCGCGGCGTGCGGGAGCAGGCAGCCATGGGCTGGGAGCCTGAATCTAAAGATCTGGGGGAGGGTAACAGGGCCCAGAGAGATCAGCAAGCCGCCATGACAGCAAACATGCAGAAGAAAGGGGAGGAAAATGACAACTCCCAAACACACTGTTACAAATCAGAAACTTCACTCAAACCGAAACGAAACACCAATTTCTCTTAAATGTTCAAAAATGTTTACACAGTGCGGAGACGTGGCAGAACCCACCAAGTTACCCAAAAACAACCACTCACAAGCTCTGCAGACTGCAAACCAATTTACCAGATACACGCTGGCGTTATTAAAGCACAGATGCTCCTCGATTTACAATGGCTCAACTTAAGATATTTTGACTGTGATGGTGCAACAGTGATACACAATCAGTAGTTATCAAACTTTGAATTTGATATTCGATGGTAACATCCACCAAGCCACACTGCCAGTCTCTGCAGAGACCGCAAATGTAAAAATCTAATACAGTGTTCAACAATGAATTGTATGCCTTTTTTCTGTGTAATTTATTATACCACTGATATTCCACTTAGGATATTTTCAACATACAATGGGTTCGTCAGAACGCAACACCATCGTAAGCTGAGGAGCACCTGTATTAATAAAGTATATGAATATTCAAAATACAGAAATTACAGATTATAGGACTCCTATACAAACTCATTCCAAAAATATGCATTAAAATGTTCCAAGAAACTGTACAACTTAAAGGATTCATCCTGTTTCTGAGTTTGGAGTATTTCCTCAACATCTGGATCATGCAGCTTTAACTCCCCAAAAGAATAAAATGTAGACAAAGTAGGTTAAAATAATAAATGCAGGTTTTTTCCTTAACTTTCAATCACAGAAGGGTAATGTACTGGAATGCTCACCTTTCTCAATGGGCACAATTCCTTGACCAAACATCTAATAATTCATGTTCTGATAATAATAACTTCCTGTATTACAGAGGTTCCTTGAAATGCATTATTATATTCAAGTTCCTAAGTAATAAAGAAATACAAAATCCTAAAATTAACTTCAGAGGAACATGTTCATGTTGGTATGTGACAAATCAAAGAGTGTGGAAACTGACGAGCCGCTCTTTGAAGTATGATGTGAGACAGGGAGAATTTGATCCTTAACACTGAATTATTCACACTAATATGTAGCGAGCCAACAAAACAGCCTTCAACTGAAGTACATGACACAGGTTAACTACAATTTCAGCTCCACGCCGTTCAATCCACTGCTCTGCTGTACAGCAGGTAATGATACTAAAATTATGCTTCATCCTTGACTAAGAACTTAAAACACAAATAATTAAAACACGGCGACCGTAGATTACAAGAGACACTTCAAAAGCCCTAAAGACAAGATGTGCAAAATCAAAATCCATCGATCTTCTAACCACTCAGCCTTGTCAGGTTGCAAGGGGGTGCATATCCCAGCAGCGCAAGACTGGGGGGGGTACATCCTGGGTGGGATGCCAGTTCTGATGCATGGGGGGAAAAAAAAAAAAGGCAACTTTAAAAATATACACTAAGGACCAAAATTGTGGAAGCATGTTTTTGGCATTACACTTTAAAAATCACTACAAGAATACTGGCGGTAATGTTTATAAACAGTCAAAGAATGTTTACAAATATCATACACTGGACGATTAAATAAGTAACTGGAATAAAGTCCAGTAATCTCTAAAAGCTGGAAGTGTTTCTACAATTTTGCCCACTAGATACATAACAGAGGTTGGTTAATATGTGATACATTTAAAGACCAGTCGCTGCTAATCCTAAACGCACCTGAAATCAAATGTAAAGTACTTGGCCAAATAAAATCATTTTCTGTTATACCAAGGCTGTCATGTACAATATCCATATTCAGAGACCAGCTACAGTAACCAGTTCTGTTCCTGGGACTGCAGGGTTGGTAGTGAAAGCCAAAGAGACAGCAAGAAAATGGTGATTAGTCAGCCTGAGCAGCTGGAGGGCCACAGTGAAGGCAGGTTAAAGAGCTCAGTTACTGCTATCCTGCATCAATGTAGCAACAAGCAAATACAGCGCAAGTTGGCCATGTCTTTCAATAAACGAGCAGTACATCATACTCATCGTTTAAAAACTGAAAATTTGTTATTATTACGAAGTGATTAAACCCTTCAGACATGCTGAACTGCAAGTTAGGAATAACGGCAACACTCAAGACCACAGACGGGACTCTGAAGAGTATAGAAAGTGTGGTGAAGTGTGGGACTTCATCGCCCGAATGCAATTTTGCAACACATAACTATACAGAAAAAAAAATTATGTTCTCCTGTAGTGCAGAGAAAGGTTGTCAAGTCTGGCTTGACACCATGCAGAAAGGTCAATGCTTGTTCCTGAATTGGGTGCTTGAAAAGCCAAGTGATTCCTATGCAAGGAATTCTTTTAATGAAGTTTACTCTGAAGACCCCTTCCCTTAATAGTGTACTGAAAAATAAATAAATAAAAACTGCAAACCATGATTCTCTAAAAGAAAGGGTCACTAGCAAAAGTTGTGGATAGTTATTACCAAATGAAATATGTATTACAAATATCAGGCACTGGAAGGAAATCGTGAAATTATTTGGATCATTAATAGTTTAGTTTAGGTAAAGGGCACAGAGAAGGTACAACCTAATGATCTTCTGTTTTGCACATTAAAATTAATAAAAGAATAAAACAAAACAAGACTTAAAATTTCTTTGGCTTTTTTTCTTGCATTAAAACCAAAAGGCTAGGGAAAAAAACGACTTGACTATAACTGTTAAGCTTTTAACAAATCAAACTTTCCCTTATTTAAGTCCTAAATGGCAAATGCACTCTTTAAAAACAGAGTGCTTCAAATCAATTTCAGGCTTCAGTAAGCCATACCAAGGTCCGCTGATCATTCCTTAGCCAGCTGCCCCAATAGCCCTTCAAAGCCTGCCATCACGCCAGAAGCAGAGTCACGTCAGGCCTTGTCCAGGAACCTCAGGGGACCTGAAATGGCTCACTGGTGCCACACATTAGTGACAGTTGAGACTCCACCCCCTTTATAGTCTAGGCAAAACCATGGTTCAGTCAAGTGAGGAGTAGAGAGGAGGACTGCAACTGTCAGATCGGCCTGAGAGCCTGAACAACAGATCCGAGGAAACCTGCTTTAAGATGATTAATTTTAAACCAAAAATTCTGTAAAACGCTGGTTCTGTTTGTTTAAGATACCGGGCAACCAAGGACAACTGCAGAAGAAATTTAAACAAAGAGACTCCATGTATAATTACGAGTAAGACCTCTGGCGCTGTAACTTACATATCAATACTTTCAATGACACTTGAAAAGTAGTGAAAATGTTTTGTTTAATGGAAATAGACAAGCAAAATCCACATAACTTGGTTTGCTCCCGCTAGTGTCTATCTAAATTACGAAACTGACAAATTTCAGATCAATGGGCGAAAGGTTTGGGGCCAGAAACATTTACTGATTAGCGTATTTCATGCCACACTGATTTTCATTTGCAAATCAAACGGGAAAATGCTACTCGCAAAAAATGTTAATTGAAAACCCATCTTGAACGCAATCTGAAATACACCTGCGGGATTATTACGGATGAGAACCCCGTTTACGGCGCCGCTGTCAGACGAGCAACCCTAAAGTGCGCCCCCTGGTGCCCGTTTATCAGTACCGTCTTAAAAAGACCACAGTTTCAATCTCACCAAAACGATATTACCCTCTCTGGGCACTAAAGAATACAATTCTGGATTCAGTATATTGGTTTTGTTTATCTCATGCGCCTCTTCGGGTTAATTTTTTTTTTTTTTTCTATAGTTATCTTCAAGTTTACAGAATAAAAGCCGAGTGACAATCCGTTCGTTGCCTCGTACATCTTGTAAATGACACTTGCGTTACTATTTTGACATTTGTGTAACTGCATATAAGGAATAACACCCTAAATATAAGCTAATTGTTTACTGTTCCAGGCTTTTAAATCATAGTTCTTGATAACCTTGACTATGTCGGGTTCATGATTACATACAATAATTGCCTGATAGTCCGTGGATATTACTTGTTGGTAATAGAAAATTGCTGCACAGTCACACTCCACAGAGGATTCTGAAAGCAACAACCACCTGGCTCCTAGTGTGCATATTCCACGTGACCAGGTCTTTGGGATATATTGTTTACAGCGTTTCGTTAATTAAAGGTGAATGGTGGGTAGTAAAATGTAGTAACATCATACTGTAAATCTATCCACAAACAGTTAACTTAAACTTAATAGATTTAGTACGAAATGCTTGACTGCAACGTTCCCCGCGACCTAACGTACAGGTTGACAAAGCAAAAGTTTTCATAGAGAATATAGGTAATGGGGTCTTTATGAAGCACCAACGCACCATCCGCGAAGACACTCACCCATCCATGTCCTCTGTTCTGGTATGGAATAGTATTTATTCCCAAAATGATCTGTACCCACATGTTCTTTTACGATTCCAAATGTCCTGCGTAACAGGGAGGATATTTTGCTCATATTTTTTTACTATCTGCTATAACTGGACGTTTAACTTCTCTTAACAATATAAGACATGGATAACCTTTTATACCAACCTAAAGTGAAGAGCAAATGCAGTATTTAAAGGTTGCGCTCATTGGCCATTTTGAGTCATTCCCACCAATCATCAGCGTCGGTGTTCCGGTGTCGTTTTGTGTAACAATTTGATAGTTCCCCAGTGTGTTCTTTTAGCCAAACAGCGATATTTACAAAATGAACTTAATTTGTATTCTCCTGAATGTTTGTTGAATTCGTGTTACTGTCTTATGTGATGTAAATGTGAAAATAAAGGGTGTTTTTGGACAAAGAAACAATTTGTTAATCAGAATTTGACGTTAAACATATTTAAGCCAGTGTAATGTTTTGCTTGCTATAATCACGATTGCAAGTTTGCTATTTATTATCGCGGCCGCGGTGTGTGTTTACGGCTGTCGAAGAATATGCTGGGTTTTCTATTTGCAAGACAAACAGGATTAGACGACCCTCTTCGTCTGAAACGCGCCGAGTCTACGCGAAGGTATGAGGACGACGATGTAGGCGTTCATTTAATTTGCAAGCTACAAGTTGTTTAACAATAAATAGTATAACGAGCCGCTATTCCCTGCTACTGTGTAATGTTCGTTTGGAGTCTAACTGGTCTGAAAATTCCAAGGGAAATTTAACTGTTGCAATTGCTTTCTTTGTTACATGTCAAGAAACACAGGCACTAATTGTCTTTAATGTAATATGTTTGTGTTTTTAAAACATTTCAGGCTATGTCTTGATAACGGTAAACTATACATTTTATTAATTTTCAGCACATATTTTTAAAAAACCGATGCATTATATTTCTTAATTATTTTAGTGACAATTGAGAGATCGGTAAAAATCTGTGGCAAGTCTCATAATTATATGGTTTTGTAAAAATATTAAGAAATTCAGTCAGTTGATCCGTAAAGCAGCAGCACGCTAGTGATCACTAATTCAAGTGATAAAAATAATAGCGTAACACCCTTTTATTGGGAGATCGGGAGTACCTGCATGAATTGAATCCTGTTCTATCAGATCTGTCCACAAGGCGGCGCTGCACGATATGGTTTTTGAAAACTAATGGTCTACAGCAGTGTTTCCCAAACCAGTCCATAGGGATCCTCAGACAGTCCACATTTTCCCCCCATCCCAGCTCCCAGGCAATCAAAAACACCGAATACCTGGTTCAGGTGTGTTGGGAGCTGGGAGGGAGCAAAAATATGTCCTGTCCAAGTGTCTCCAAGTACAGTACTGGGTTGGGAAACAGTGGTGTACAGGATGTTGATAACTTAGCATGTGTAGTTCTATGGTTCCTTTGATATTGCTTTTAACAACACCCTGATTACCTTTTCTCAAGGTATAAATGATGATATGGAATTTAAAATAGCTTTTTGTCTTCTTTTGAAGGGTTCTCTGCATGGAATTGAATCAAGATCGAGATGTTGAAAGAATCCATGGGAATGGCATTAACACAATTGATATCGAGGTCATTGAAGGCAGATAGTAAGCATCCTCCACTATTTATTCAATCAACATATTGTAATTACATTTATCATGAGCCATTATGTTTCAGATTTTTTTTGTTTTGTTTCTTTAAATAAACCACTGAATAATAATGGCTACAAAGCACTTCAGCAGTCTGTTATAGTGCACTCGCACACACACAAATATTTAAATGAAATGCACAAGTGGCATGTGACTTAGCGATTAGCATTTTCTCATTGCTGCTTATCTGGGATATTGGAACAAAATTGGTCCCAGCTCTGTGTGTGAGGGCTTTGTGTTTTTTTAAATATATATTTCCCCTGTTTACTCCTTTTCTGTTCCTTACCATCTGATGTGCATTTAATACCAATGCAGATTTTCTCACAAAAGTAATTTAGGCAAATTAAGTAATTTGCAAAAGCTCTCCACGTATTTTGCATCATATATTGTATATTGTATTGATCTTATTAGGGCCCATTTTTAATGTTATATCCCAGAGGTCCAAGACTTGATAGGAGGCCGACATTCTATTTAGCACCCAGTCTGCACTGTGTGAGTTGACCTGCTACTGTTAAGCCCATACGAGCAGAGGCAGACTGAGAAGCAGCAGCCACAGTGACCCTTGAGGTCTGCAGTTGTCAGTCTCTTATGGCCACGCCCCCATATGTGGCACATTTCAGAAAACGGCAAAACAAAGTCCTGTGGCTGGCAGAGTTATTATTTCACTGTCCGACCTCAGAGCAAGACCCTGAACCCCAACTGCTCCTGGGACACTGGCTCATTTCTCACTTGTTCATTTCTTTGAACAAAAGTGTCCCGAATAAAGCTATATAATTGCAATTTAAATTTATGACAATTTTTATTAAAATGAAGAGGACATCCACCCGATAACAGTTCTTAAGTAATTCATTCTTGTTGTAACAATGTATTTTAAATGGTCCAACTGATCTGGTGTGCCTTCCTGTTCTTTCTAGCATGTTGTCGGGTGGGGCTGATGGAGTGATTGTGATCTATGACCTGGAGAACCACAGCAGGAAGCCCCAGTACACATGCAAATCAGTCTGCACCGTGGGCAGGTTTGAGAGCCTCCCCACCTCTGTGATTCACGCGGATATGCATTTTTTAAGGACACTTAGATAATCAAGTCTCCATTCACCCCTTATTTAATTTTGAACAGAATTTTTATGTGTGATTGTAAAATTTTACTCTATAAAAAGAAAGATAACTGTGCTACAGTTTGTACCTTAAAATATTTGCTTTGTCTGGGGATAGTATTGTTGGTTTTCTTTTCTCCATCAATTTTTAATGGCTCTGAATTCATTATAGATGCATGTCATATGGTGCCAAAAATTGCATATGAATTATTTGAATGGCGTGTCGATGTGCCCAGTGTGTTTATGACACTTAGTCGTTGACCAGGGAGGTCTGAAATGAGGAGCTGAACGTGTCGGGTTTACTTTGGCCTTGTTTGGACTCGTTCCAGGTCCAGTCGACATGTACACAAGTTCAGTGTGGAGACTGTGCAGTGGTACCCACATGACACTGGCATGTTTGTCTCCAGCTCATTTGACAAGACCATGAAGGTTTGGGACACCGAGACATTGAAGGTAAATGTATCATTAATATACCCTTAAAATATCTCTTTGTACATACTTATTTGTAATTTGTTTGGCCCCTTTATCTTTCATTCTCTCTTACAGTGTTTTCATTCAGTCCATCTCTTCCCAAGAGATATGTAAAGTGAAGTACAATAAGGGAATACAGCACACGCCTTCACTTCTCAAATATGCAGGATGACAAAAGTTATACATCTGAGTTTGTGCCATCTGTCTCCTGCCAGTTGGCCTTTCAGTTGACTTTCTGGGCCATTAGTTACTCTGAAATATTCCTCTTGAACAGTCTAGTTCAGAGGAGTTGAGATCCATGTTTCTGTTACCCGTCCTCCATGTTGGTCTTAACCTTACCTTGCAGGAGAGAGACGAGTGGGCTGATAGTTTTATTGCAAAGCATGAATGCACCAGGATTTGCCAGACTTGTTTTTACCATATTAGCACATGACAAAATTATATCCTTCATCACAAAGGAAACGTAAAAGAACTGGAAATTGAGAAACTGATAGTGAAAAAATGAATATGATAACAGACAGTACTCCCCCTTCTTAATTTCTCTCTTAATTTCAACAAACGGCTGTGTGTTTGTGCATAATAAACAAAGCCAATTGCCAACACTGCAATTCACAAGATGACCGTGTACCGATATGAAGTCATATGTGTTCTAACAAAAAGACATGTGAATGTCATGCATACCTACATGTGCGTTTGTGTATATAAGCTAAGGATTGGATCAAGTCCCTCCAAGCTGGCTTTCAGACCATAATTCTCTGTTGCTCTGTACTCAACAAGAGACTGTATTATTAATGAGTCAACAGTGCTGCTTCTGTGTGCCTCTATGGCACACATCACACACCCATTTGCATTGATTACATGCCACAGCCCGGGACTGAATAATGTTTACATTGTACTTGGCGGTCAAGCTGGATTCCCATTGTTGTCTTGCTCATCCTAGAAGTGAAAACGAGGCATTTCGAAATGTGAAATCCTCTGGTTTGTCATTGCTTCGTAATATTTCGGCTCGTTTTGCTGCTTTTGTCCCACAATTGGCTTGTGCATTGTGACTCCCTGGTAGTCCGTATTTCATGGCTATTCAGGACCCATGCTGAAAACGAAATGGAAGCATATTTCAGGACAGGCCCCTGAAAGGGGAGAAAATTGCCCACAGGAATATTTTAGTAACGTAAGGAGGAAGGGTCCATTACAGAGAGGGCTTCTGTTTCTTAATATTTTGTTGTTTCTATGAGCCCCATTGTTCAGATGAGGTCGTGGATGAGGATGTGAAATCAGGGTTTTGTTTATTCAGACTAGATGTAGTTCCTCAGTGATGCATTTCTTTATTGCTCACATAAACAAACTTAGGAAGCTACTATATCTCTTACAATGACCTAATCCTGTTTGAGATTCCTAACGCCATATTGGAGACCTAAATGTCACTCTCTACATGTCCCGGACCTGACACTGAAAATCTGTTTTTTCTTTTCTTCTCAGCCAGCAGAAATTTTCCGGTTTGAGGGAAATATCTACTGTCATCAAATGTCTCCTATTGCCAAGAAGCACAGTCTGATTGCTGGTTTGTACCATGTCTCTTGTTCAGACAGTAGTGGCGTTTTTGATCTATGTAGACTTTCTTCTTCTTCAAACCCTGTCTCAGTCTTTTCATGCATCCCATTTCCAGATTCCTTGCTTAGATTCTGTTGGTTGTGGGTTTTTTTTCTCTCTAATAAATTTTAGTTAATTTTAGTAAAGGAATTTTAGTAATTTTAGTTTAGTTAATTTTAATACATTTTCATAAATTTTTAGTCATTCTGACAGATGGTTTTGCCCTTATGTTATGGGTGAAGTAACTTGCTAAGTGTTTTCCATAGCAACATCTAAAGTTCTCAACCCATGGATTTCTGGTTGGTCTAGTTTCCTAGCCTTTGCCCCCCATTTCTGTGACACTTGATGTAATCACTGGAATGTGGACATGGGGGCAGCAGTCAAAGTAGAACTGGGCTTTCATCTCGCCTTGCACTCTTCCAGACAAGAAAATCGCAATGTCAAAATGTAAACAAGCCATTCATTCAGCTCTGGAATGGGAAGGTGGGGCTTGTATCTGGCCAATGATCGGCAGATATGGACTGTGTGCAGGGTGGGGCTTCTCAGTGGCAACTGCACACAGACAGGGAGGAAGAAACTTAGAATCTGGAAATCAATTTGTCTTGTTAAACTTGTTCATATCACGTTTAAACACTTTTCTTCATTTAGTTACATTTCCTCGTGGTATGTAAAATATCAATCACTGCATTACAGGGAACTCTCAAATGAGGTCTTTGGATCCACTCTCATAGTCTGACTTGAATTTAAGGGGAGATCTAAGCTAAATCTCTTATTCAGATGGAATCTCTATCAGACCTTTTCCAGTTTCTTTCCGATTTAAAATTGCGATCCGTGTAGGAAAGACAGTTTGAAGAACCACATGGCATGATGATGCTGGGGCGTGGGGGGAAGCTGCTGGAAATTTGCCATCCGGTCGCGCTGAGGTGTACGTGCCCTGCTCCTGGCTGAGCTGGACTGACCGGTCCTGAATACCTATTGTTCTTTCGGGCTGAGTTGGCTCTCTGAGTCTGCACATGTAATTCCACGGAAGTCAGGCCATCGTGCCCTTGTGTGAAAGGGATACTTTGTTGTGAATGAGTCATTTAAATGTATCACAGCACCCCCGTTTAGATACCTGCATTTTGTCGCTTGATATTCAGGAAACTCAAGTGTCTGCAAAAAAATTATCATCTTCATGCATCTCAGTACTTCTGTCTCCTCCCCTTGCTCTTTCTGCACATTGTTATGTATGTACAGTGATCCCCCACTATATCGCGGTTCAGCTATCGCGCCCCCACTATATCGCGGTTCAGCTATCGCGCCCCCACTATATCGCGGTTCAGCTATCGCGCCCCCACTATATCGCGGTTCAGCTATCGCACCCCCACTATATCGCGGTTCAGCTATCGCGCCCCCACTATATTGCGGTTCAGCTATCGCACCCCCACTATATCGCGGTTCAGCTATCGCGCCCCCACTATATCGCGGATTTATCCCCGACGCATCACAGTTCTCTGTGATGTGTGTGTATATTTATACATTTACATTACATATTATTATTATTATTATTATTATTATGTTAGCCCGACATCCACATATCACATATGTGTTTACAAAGTGTGTTTTAATAACTTTAATGTGTTTAAAGCATGTGGGAGGGGTATTTTAAGGCTTAAACTATAAAAAAAATGCTTATTTATTTGGTCTTTCTACATTGTGGATTTTCACCTATCACTGATGGGTCTGCAACGTAACTTCCACGATAGGCGGGGGATCACTGTATGTACTTTTATTTTGCTGTTCATTTGCATGATTTATGTAAATGAGAGATTATTCCTCTGCTATCATGACAGCATCCGGCACTATCATTTGGTGCGGTGGTGGGGGGGGGGGTCAGTGTTACAATGGACCGTTTTATTTTTCTCTCTTGTTCCCTCATCCACTCTGACCCCGTCAATCACCTCCATTGTCTCTCCTTAGTTGGTACCAAGGACCCAAAAGTACAGCTGTGTGATTTAAAGTCCGGTTCATGCATTCAGGTCCTGCAGGGTGAGTATATGAGCTTATATCCTGAGTGAATTCCAGGTTAAATGACCTTCAGGGTTTCTGCTGATTAACAAGTCATTTATCTATTTATTTATTTATTTATTTTAATTGGAAGATAGATGGGACACAAAGTTCTCCATATCCCACGTATCAGGTCGAAAAATCGATGTGTAGTGTATGGAAATTCATTTACATCATTTAGTTAAAAAAAAAAATGCATTTTTACTTACAGAAAATCTAGTGTAACTACAGATAGTGGGCTCTTTTATTTCAAGAATTAGTTTTCCAGACAAGAAGATAAATGATGGGCCCAGTTTCTACCTACTCCTTAAAAAAACACTCTCACTGATGAATTAAGGCAGGTTAAAGACAAGGGGGTGTGTTCACACACTTCTCAACAAATGGGTGTGTCCAGTAAATTTGTTATTTTCAGTAGTAGTTCAGAATTAGAGTCTAAAGAGCTGCACAGTGCATTAATGACATGCTAATGGGCATTTATGGTATTTTGGCCGTAATTCAGTAATACAAGGTTACAACTTCCATTGCATTTGTTTGGAAAATGCAGTCATCTAAGCTGGATCTCTGCTAACACCTGCAAAAGCAGTAATTTTGTGTGTGTGGCTGCTTATCTGAAATAGCTGATTCTGCAGTAAACTGAAAGAGCTTTTTAGCTTAAGTGCAGATATACATTTGAACCTTATTATCCCATTCCAAAGAGCAAAACAAAAAAAAACACCAGTGCAGCCATACTTCTTCCCTGGATCAAACAATGAAATTGATCTCATGAAGAACATGCGTCTATGATGGTGACAAATCACTTCTCTAATGAACGAAAGTTTTGTTTAAACCTTTAATGTTATTCTTGTTTTGTTTCAGTAAGATGCGTGATATCATTAGTGGGCGGGGTATACGTGATTACCTTTCATTTTCTTCTCTGACTATGAACTTTCTGTGTTTGCCTAGCAGGTTCGCCATTTCTGGAGATGTTTTTAAATGTATCTGTTAGCGTGACATTTTAGGGCTGTGCCTTGGCAAATGAAAACTGAAAGCACTAAGTATTCAGAGAAGCATTTGTGGACTTTTGTTTTGTTTTGATTTTGGAAGTTGAATTTGGGGTAAAAGGTCATATCATCATTGTGGCTTTTTCGTCATTATGCTTGAAACAAATCCTGTGCTAACTGCTACCTTCACATGAGTTCCCTGGTCCGGTCCAGTGACATGAGGAAAAAAATGGCGGTTGACAGTCCAGTCTGTAGTCTGGGGTAGTATTTTACATGAACTGAGACACAAACTGTTAGTACCTTCCTGTTAATGTTCATAGCGATGATGATGATGGTGGTGATGATGATTTTGTGCTTGCCAGGTCACCGAGGAGAAATCCTCTCTGTGAGATGGTCTCCACGTCATGAATACATTTTGGCTACGGCCAGGTACATCCAGGCTACCTAATACGCCATTTCTCTCACTTCTCAACATCTTGTGCTGTACTGTACAAAAGGCTTAGGCAGTCAAAGAAAATGTTTAAAACTATTTTTCTTGGCAGTTTGTGTACAGGAAAAAAACACAATTTAGCATGAGAAGATTTGCAAATTAATAGAAACACTATAAAAACTAACAATTTAATCTGTCTGTTCTGATTCCTTGTTGGACGGCTAGATGAACTCCGCTTCAGTTCCCAAACCTCTCCTCAGGGGCACCACAGATATTCTGTGTATTAATTAAATGTCATCAATTAATTAATTAACTTGATTTGTTAAATAACGCACTGAGGTATTAATTAGCCAAATATGGCATGCCAGTGATCCAATCAAGAAATACAAGGGTGTATTGCATGAAAATCGCAAATACTGGGGTGACTTTAGGAGAGGTTTTGAAATGGCTCTGAAGACACGTAACACCATAGTTTTACACGAACGATCATTGACCATCCTTAGAATTTTTCATAGCACTGTATGTCATCCTGTGGTCTCTTCTGTAGTATTTCAGTACAAAAAAACAAGTATGTAATATTTGTGTTCTGCTATTAAACTATTTTTACTACCTTAAGGGGACAGTGAGGAGCATGAGCTTCAAACTGTGTAACGCTGAATTGTATTATGGACAACAGGTGGAGATTGAGGGAACAGTTGGAAGCTGATAGGAACTGATGATTTGTCTCATAGCTCACACTGCATTATTTGTTTCAGCGCAGACAGCAGCGTGAGGTTATGGGATGTCCGGAGGGCTACTGGAAGCCTCTTTGCTCTGGACCAGCACAATGGGGACAGGTCTAAAGCCTCATTCGGTGGGATCCTTTCCACCAGAACCAAAGTCCACACAGAGCTTTTCTACTTAATATGATATGTAAAGTTTTCATTTGAACGCGTTTTTTTTTCCAGTTAGGATTCTAAAACCAAGAATTTAAGTTTTGTCCAGTTTTTATAACAGGAAAAAAATACATGAAAATGTGACATTAAAAATATAATACATCCATGAGATCATATTTAGTGAAGATACCCTCTTTGTTTCCAGAGAAAATGTGCAGCAATTGTAGTACATTATTTTCTAGATTGTTTTTTTTTTTCAGTTATATTTAACATAATTTGCTAATTATATCCTTTTATTCTTACCGCCAGCATAACAGGATGATTCATAACTACTGTTTAAATGCCTAGTAGACAAGGAATTTGTTTGAAATGACTAGTTGTCTTTGGTAACCACTGCTATTGGAAGCTGTTAGTCATAATGACCTCTCTTTATTAGGATTACGATCAGCAGTAAAGTGCACAGGAAAATATGGACTAAAAATAACTGATAGTATCATCATAAATGTATAACCCTTATTAAATTATGTTTATATTTTTATATAGCTGGTTTTCTATTTATTTTTTAACGCAGATGTCTAACAAGAAAGACCTAAAATCAATTGCTTTATCAAAACAATTTTAGTATTGTCTTTTTCAAGTTAAAATAAAGTAGTGGCAGTTGACGCTGATTGCTGAGTAACACGTGTGTTTCCATGGCAGCAAACATGGCCCACAATGGGCGGGTCAATGGGCTCTGCTTTACTGCCGACGGGCTCTTCCTGCTGAGCGCCGGGACAGATGACCGCATGCGGCTGTGGAAAGCAGCCTCGGGGGAGAACACCCTGGTGAGATGCCTGGGTGGAGGCTGTCATGCAGCAAGCTGTGAATTTGGCCAGGCCGCTTGAGTTCATACCAACAGTGCTGATTAAACACTACTTTGAATATTTAGCTACATATTTACCTTAGATCATAAACCTTATGTTGTGAGCTGAGGATTTCAGATAGGAATGCAAATGCTGAGGGGATTTTTTGATTCTCACAGCAATCATCCTTGGCTTTATAGGAGTGTTAGAGAAGGATATGTTTCTTGTAATATAAGCTGCACCTCCTTGTTATTAGTCCATTTACTTTGCCCAGTTTAAATTCCTGTCAGATTTGAATGAAATTCGCAGAAAACCTGTAAGTTTTCCAACAAGCCTGGTCTGGTTTTCCTTTTCATGGTGAAGGTGAACTATGGGAAGGTGGCGAATGAGACTCGGAAGGGCCTGAAGTTCGCCGTGTCGCAGGGCTGCAGCCCCGAGTTTGCGTTCGTGCCGTGCGGCAGCTCAGTGGCCGTCTACGCCTTGCACACGGGGGAGCTGGTCACCATGCTGAGGGGCCATTACAATAACGTCGACTGCTGCGAGTTTCATCCCGACTACCAGGTTAGGCTGGACCAAATTACTCCACCTACTTTTAAATCATTCTGAAAGCATATTACTTTTTCTCTGTGGTAGTTACTACACCCGGATGTACAGGTATAAATTATCATTGGCTCCCTACACTGGTGTGCTTAAGCAAAACACTTTTTTTTGAATTGTTTAAATATTTCAACTGTCTGAAGAAAGAGATTAACCTTAGGCTACGTTCTGTAGTTGGCCCCGGTGTGGTATGCGTCCTTCGACCAATAAGCTGTAGCTTTGCATTATTACAGTAAGTAACGCATACTAAGGTGAGGCTGGCTGGGTTGAGATTGTGTTAGCACATCAGCAGTCTTAGGTGTGGGGTGAGATGGTCTATAAGGTATGAGGAAAATGATAAACACGGTGTTGACAGTGCTGTGACACCTACGCTGTCAGCGGCAGGACTGCACTCTTGGGTTGGCTGAAACTGATTATGTAATAGAACATCCGGGATTCCTAAACCAGTGCTAATCCAGCCGTGTAATTGAAGGGGGGATGCCCTGTGATGACATTTAGATCACATAACCCTGCCCGACATCTTGGTCTTGACAGTGAGCAGGATTAGTGCTGCAGTGTGCTCGAATGTGACCTTACTGCTGCAGGAGCTGTACAGTGGAGGCAAAGACTGCAATATCTTAGCCTGGGTGCCTACACCACGAAAACCCGACGTGGAGGATGAAGGACAGCGCTCCACAACGGTGGGTTGAGTCTAGATGATTTGATGCCCCCCTCCTTATTTAATAAAATATGGATGCAAATATAAGAAATATTTTTGCGTCAAGACAGGAAATGGTGGCTGGCTGTTGACACTGGCTTTTGTATAGTTTCCAATTAAATGTCGTACATACCTGGAGTAGCAGAAACCAAGAGTCATAGTACAGAACACAACATACCTGCTTTGCTGGGTTTTTTATTTACTGTTAGAGAATTTAAGGTTTCATTTAGGCAACATATTTACAATGCTCACAGAAAGTCTTGCGTAATTCAGTAAAAAAAATTAAAAGTATTGGTTTTATAACAAAAAATCATGACTTTTTTGCATTTGTTTACATAATATCGCATTAGGAACAATCAGTAGTTTTAAGTAAAACATTTGTTTCAGGTAGTAATAAATTGAAACCCAAACTATAGTTCTGACACAGCTGTTCTGAATTGAAAGGTTCATTGACAAGCAGTCTCATTGGGTGCTTTTTAATTAGTAACACCTTTGCAATAACATAAAACACAATTCATAGCAAAATGGTAAGAAAAAAACTGAATGAATCAGTCAAAAAATGATAACATTTGATAATCAGTAAATGTCTGTGCAGAAGATATGTGCAGATATGTTCAACATTGCTTGTCAATGGACTTTTGTTATGAAACCAATACATTTGCACCATTATTACTGAATTAAGCAAGCATCTCAAAACTTTCTGTGAACACTATATGCCACCCCCCCCCCCTAAAATATGTCTCTATAAAGAAAAATGTACAGAATGTGCAGCGGGAAGTTCTACATCTCATGGATGCACGTTTGCCATAGCTGTGTCAGTGTATGACCAACATCTGCTATCATCTCACTAAAATGAGCTTCTGAACAGGCTGAGAGTGAGTCCACGCTGAACCCTGCCTTCGAGGATGCATGGAGCAGCAGCGATGAAGATGGATGACGTGTCTGTGACCACTCCAGGGGACACGGAAAGCTACGTGCCCTGGCACAGCCCTAGACGGCCATCCTGATGTGCCATTCGTGTAGCTGGTCTTCACAAAGACATTTTGGTCATTTCTTTTTTCTTTAGTATTACCTATGGTAAACCTACTGATTCCAGAGTATAGAGATGTATCCCTTTCACATGAAATTTCAGACTTTTGTTCATTTGTACTTCTTTTTTAATACAGTAAAATCATTGTTTCTCTTATGATTATACTGATGACATGTGCACTGCTTATCCGAATACCCACATTAGCTCAGTTCTCTGTCTAATGATATTTCCAGCAGGTTTCAATGCTTTATGTGTATTTTTATTAAGTTTTGTTGTAACTATACAGGACTTGAGAATTTGTCATGGTTTGGCTGATGCTGAAGGTGTGGGGGTGGGCTGATAGCATCCCCTTTTCGCGGTTCCGCTGGGCAAACAGCTCACTCACACAGTTTCTATTCTAATGTTCCTTCACTGAAATCTGCATGAAAAATGGACTTAATAGCTGCTGTTGTGCAGATGCCACTGTCCTCCTGTTACTTGTGGTCAGCCAATGGGCTATTGGGTTTAACCTGTTTGGCAGAAACAAGAACTGATAATGCAAAACATATGTTATGGTTGGCTTTTCTGTATCAGTACAGAGTGCCTTCAGTGTCATACTTTGTGTGTTTAAACAATTTTTAATGAACACGGGTCAAATGTTTTTGCTTGCTTCAATTAACTTGGTCTTACACTTCAAAGCCAAAATGTTAGACTATGTCTGCTAGATTACCATAACCAAGTCTGCTCCACTACAGAATATACAGAATATTCAGACAATCTAGAAATTGCTTTAAAAAGTTAACTGATTATTAGTGTATGTACATAGTGCATATTTTATTGCCAATGTTTCTATAAAACAGCAAATACATATATTAAGTTGTTTTGAATATAGATAAACATCTACTAAACATCTAATAAAAAAAATCCAACTCTGAAACAATGCCACACAAGTCCAGCTTATGAAACTGAGTCAGAAGCTGAGAGGGGAGAAAAAGTATCCAAGTAATGACAGAATGAATGGTTTCTACAGCACTGAATAAGTATCTGATGTGCAGAGAGCAACGCAGAAGCTCCCTTATACTTATATTACGTACTTGAGATAACAAAGAATTGGGATCTGGCTCAGTAGTGAAGGGAAGCTTTAAAATAGGTAGTGGTGCAAACTTGCAACAGCCCTCTATGAAGGAATCATTACAGTCAAGTAAAGACCAGCCCACAAAAATTAACCGGATGAAATCCATCTTAATTATTAACACACATTTCCTTTTATCATTTTTTAGGATCTAGACTTTATCAGACTGCTGAAGCAGGCTACCAAGGTTACGGTTGAAAAAAATCATGCCAAGTTCAAATGGTGAGTTTCACAAAGGAAAATTAAAAGCGAATCGGTACGTGAACATGAAGTTACAAGTATATATGTTCTATCTTTTGTAGGACGGGACAACTTATCTTCTATATAAATATGAAAGATAAGTTACGCATACGGAACGACGCCTTTGCTTCCCAATGGTCCAAATAATCATTACCAGTAGAGGATATTTATTGAAAGGCCAGACTAACGGACATACAACAATTAAAAAAACTTTATTTTTTATTAAAATATAAATAATTTTTTGCCAAACTGCAAACAAATCCTACAAATAAAACACATTTCGCTAATGCGATACACCTACTTAGTTATAACGTTAGATGTCACGCTTCGCATTGGAGTTTCGCACTAATTTGCAAAAAAATACAGGCATCTCTTGCAGGGATCGTTTTACCGGGGAGCGAACAAAAGCATCACCGCCAACCGATACAACGACAAACCCATTTGTCCTTCAGGGTTTTAAGTAGCCAATAGGGAGACACTTGCGTGGTGACGACTTGGGTACCTGAAGACTTTTTTTTATTCGCTTAATTGCACTATTAACATGCAGTTAATGACTTTTACCTGATTGGCTTAAACGGGTCACATTGAGCGTCTGCGCTAATCAGATTCGAGTATGCTTAGGGGAAAAATGCGTGTGTCACATGGGTGGGGACTGGCTCCTGAATAAGTGAGACTTCGTCGACCTTGTCTTAATTGTCTACGACTGAAGGGTCAAGCAGGTGAGTTTGCTGGAAGAAAAAAAAGGCTGGTTTACAGTAACTGTCATCGGTTAATTATGTAGTTGAGTATGTGGTTTTTTAATTTTATTTTAAATTTTACTTTGAATGCCGGGAGAGGCTTTTAGCATGATTGGTGGTGGTATGCTGTCGTTTAAAGTTTATACTTTCTTATCTCGCTGTCGGTGTGTTACTCTTTTTCGAGTATGCTAGCCTCAGGATGTGCCGCACTGGAACTTTTCCCGTCTGCTGCCTATGGAGTATTTAGCGAAGACTTGGCGCTCCCGTTTCTCCGTGCACCTGTCGCGGCTTCCGTCATTTTGTATCCCACCCTGTTGTAATCTTTAAGCTGTGTCAGTTTTCGGCCGACTGTGAACGGACATCAGTGGCGAAAATTCACAATCTCCATCTCTTTAAAACTCTGTTACGTGGCTTAGCTTTTCTTACACTCTAGCAAATAATTGGTATCTTTGTTAGTCTCCTCCGTTTCGTCATCCGTTATTGTGCTCGGTACCTACAGGTGACTGGCAAAGAATGTTCCATTCAGTCCGTATGGGCGCGGTTATTTAAGATACACGTCTAACTTCACTAAAGTCGTGGACGGGGATTCATGGCATTTCTTTGAGCATTTTAACCGAAAACATTTTTTAATATAATTTTATATTTGTGTAATGTAAGGGTGAGTGAGACTTTCAGTGGCTCAAACTCGGAGACTGCCGGGTGTTTCCCGAAGTTTCTCCGCGCCTTACCCGTGGTGGTGGTCCCGGAGATTCCGTGTTGTTGCTTGGCAACGGAAGGCTGCGAGATCAAGCCGTAACAAGAGACCGACAGACCGGGTGTTAATTACTTTCGCAGTAAACCTTGTATGCCGATACGAATACTACAAAATGCATGGGCAGCACGATTTGGTACCCCCCCGGCCGCTGGCTTAAGCGTAACCTGTATGTTTAGATACTTCACAAAAAAACTTTGGCTATAATTGTAAGTGATCTTTGGGTTTTATGAATTTAGATACCGCAGATAATTGCGATAGTGTTGGAGGATGTTTCTGGAAGCAACATTCCAGAGTCTTGCACAACCTGTCTCACCAAAGAGATCAGCATGGAAACCATAACACGTGTGGCTTTCCAAACGGCTGGTCCTCTGAGCTGGTTCATACGCATGAAATGACTCATTACGCCTGTGTATTGAAACGTGATACTTCTGGACAGTCTCCTTGGTGTCATTGACATGACCACTGAAACCACCATTTAACTTAGTGGAATGTCTGATCAGACCTTGAGCCTTTTATGGAGCTGTCCAGTGGTCTGACAGCAGTGTGTATAGTAGAGGAACTCGTCATTTCCGTCGAATGAGAATTTTGGCATATGAGACTAGGTGTGTCTATCAGTTGGTGACCTGTAGTGGGAGGGGCCTGGGTGTGTTGCTAGCCCGTAACTGGGTCTCGTGCAGACTTGCAGAGTGGAACATGTTGAGGATGTACGTGCCACACCTCAAACACAGGACTAGTTGCCTTTTGTCTTGTTGTGCTAAATGAGTTCATTGCTTCTCGGGCATGTAGGTGAGGTTCAATGGGTACGGCCTGTTGAAATATGATCAGGTTTTAAGACCTATATCTGGATAGATTAGCTTTGGTACATACCCCCCCCCCCCCAATTTATTGCCTAATCTGGGTAGCTGTATGTGAGTAGTCATTTTGGCGGTGCCACTTTTTGGGCCACAAATAGACAAGAGGTATTCTTGGGTATATTTCCCTTGTGCTGTTTTAACAGCTTGAAATCCCCACCCAAAATATTTCAATTTCAGAATCTGTCAGTCTGCCATGGGTCCTTTGTTCTGGTTCATGGTTAGATGAGATGTTACTGAGACCTGATCCTGAACCGGAAGGATCAGAAACTGATGTCGTCTTATTCAGCTTGACCATTTGTTCTGAAGCGCATCAAACTTTAAATGTGCAGTCTACATGCTGTCAGTCAGTGTTGGTTATGCAGGAAAGCTGTTGCTAAGCAAGCAATGCCAATCAGCATGGGGCTGTTTATTGTGCGTCTTTGTCTGGAAATGGCTTTACAAATGCTTCTTCCTACCAAACACTTAAACAGGAACATCTTGCTGGTCACTGGTTTCTGTAATTTTATTGTTGCCTTGTATTAAGCCTCTTCATGTATTATGGGCAGGTTTCAGCTACTGAGTCTTCATTAGCGTTAATGTAATAACTCAAGAATAACAGTGCTAAGACTTCTTGACATGACTAGATATTGCAGCTTAAGTCATCCATACCTGCTCTGAAGTGGTCACTGTAGTCCTATCCCTGATTCATTCCTTGGTATCTTCTGACCTTTTTTAATCCTGGGATGAATTGTTGCTCCATGATCATTTCACTTCAGTTACTGAATTAGTCATGTGCCCCTGGCTTAGAATGTCTCTCACCTAATCTTTATTTAGGTCAACCTGAATTGTAACTTAAATCCCCTCTTTCCCCTTGGGTCCTGCCTCTTTCAGTGACGGCTCCAGGGCTTGTGCAAAGATGGCTTTTAATGAGCTGACGTCCAGAGCTGTCCTGTTGTATGATGAATGGATCAAAGATGCTGGTGAGTTGACATGTCTAGCATTGTTGTGGGATGTGGATTTTACTTCTGTAATCTAGTAAAATGTCTAGATAAGAATTTCTCCTTGCTCTTAAAGGGGACCTAGTTCTCCACATACCTGTATAATTATTTGTAATTCTGCCAGTATGTATTGCACAGAACTACGGTTAGCCAGAACAATTAGTTTCAATGTTAACACCTTTCACTGAACCTTGATCCTGTTTCTTCAGATCCTCGGACCGGAAACTGGCTGCTTATGTCTTCCCCACTGCCCCAGACCATCATCATTGCTGCATATATCTACTTCGTTTCTTCCCTTGGTCCAAGACTAATGGAAAACCGCAAACCCTTTGACCTCAAGCAAGTTCTGATTGTATACAACTTCAGTGTGGTGGCCTTCTCTCTTTACATGTGTTATGAGGTGCGTAATGGAATTTATAAGGTAAACATGTCTGCCTGTATCTAGTGTTGTGGCTGTCATATAGTCTTCACTAAATGTGAAGCTATAATTTGCCAAATTCCCAAAAACATGAAATTTGCATTTCCAAAATGGCGGCACAGCTGACTTGTGCATACCTGTTTGCCCTAATTTTAATGGAGTCATTAACGTGTACAGTTGTGACGCAAACTAAGCTGCATGCTCTTTGCTAACTAAGATCCGGCAGTATCTGTTAAGCCACATTCTTTTCTGGTAAGTTGACATTCCAGTATGTCAGACGGGCTGCAAGTTTCAACTTTTATGTGACTTCCACTCCAAGTGATTGCTAAGAACAAATTGTAGCTTGTTGTTCATTAACATGCTACTTCTTCAGTTTATAGGCGTTTTATTAACTTTGTTATAAGTCCCCACCCACCTTGGTGCAAAATTCTGGCCCCACCCCACAGTAAACATGAACACTGGGCATTGTGTTCGTATACTAAATGTAGTTCAGAACACTTGTACCAAGTGCATTTGTCATGACTTTCTCTGCAGTTCCTTATGTCTGGC